TATTTAATGAGGACCGGTGGCCACCGTACGCCGGATCCTGAAGCCTGAATAGTGAATACGCTTAGGGAAATTAGGCTCGCGAGTGGCGAGAGGAATGGCCGGGGCTCTGTGACTGGCAGTATATCGCGGATCCTGCCGGCTGCGACAGAACCGTGACCGCAGAGACGACGGCGTACCGTTACCAAGCTGCTACCGTAAATCAACCTTTAGTATCGCCGACTCCTTTGACCTTAATAAAAACGAGCAAGACGCGAAACCGATCGGCGAAACAACTCGCCGTGTAATACCCCGTGTGCTTTGTAAACGGAAGAGATCTTGTTCCACGCCTTGTTCAATTTACCATCGACATGGCTGTGCTAAGTGTTGCAAAATACAGTGGCTACGGAGAGCTACACTAGATTCTCGATTTTTTAAGCCGTCGACGTTCAAACTGGTTCTCCGCGTCGCAATTTTCTGGGTATCGATTCGATGCCACAATTTGCGTACACATAATTGTTAGGCCGCGAGTTACGAGTATGCTCGTTACGGAGAAATGAGAAGTTTACGTGCTACGATGGAGATACTCCGTGGACGACTTTAATTTATATTAAATTATATTATGTTATATTATATAAATATTATATTATGTTATATTAGTTAATTAACACGCTTTTCAGTAATTGTAGAAGAAATAGCTGGGAGAAACTGCACGCGGTGTCATCTATAAAATGCATTCGAAATTGGCCCCAAAGAATGGTCTGAAAAATTGTCTTCAGAAATAGTCTTAAAAATAATCTTCAAAATTGCCTTAAAATTGTCTTTAAAATTGTCTTAAAAAGTGCCTTAATATTGTCTTAAAAATTGCTTTAAAAATAATCTTAAAAATTACCTTAAAAATTACCTTAAAAATTGCCTTAAAAATAATCTTAAAAATTACCTTAAAAATTGCCTGAAAAATTGTCTCAAAAATAGTCTGAAAAATTGATCAACACAGCTAAGAATTTAAATATAACAAACCGATATCTGCTTTTTAGCTTTGATGAAATCAAATAGTAACATTTTCTCTATAAAAATCGGCGAATGCAGACGATCTATCATTCACAGCATTTACCAATTTGCAAAATGTCGCACTGCAACCTTCGATAACGCATTCACCTTGCTTTTGCCAGCTGAAAATATTTAATTCGATCTCCCCGTGTATAGTTTCTAAATGTCACTGTCCATAAAATCACGAAAAAGTGTGTGTCACCTGAGAATCTTTTCACGAATCTTTTCATTCGCGAACAGTGAATAACAATGAAACACCGGAAATGAAATATGTGCTACGACGGGCTAAAAATCGGCGAGTAAAGTCAGCCCTGCGCGCAGCAAATTTCTTCGAAAAATTTCATCGTCCGAGGTGCAACGTCGCAGCCGTTCGCGCACCTGCTGTCTCGAACGTAAACTTTCATTGCAATCTCTCATTTTCTTTCAGCGGGAAAGGACAAGGCGGCGCGCGTAAAGGATAGAGACGATAAAAGACAAAAGGGAGACGGACGATCTCAGAAAGGTGTCACAGCCACCAGATGTTAACGACCATATTTATGAATATTTCAAGTACGCCGGGACGTTTGTACACGCGCGAGACAACGTCCCGCCGTGCGTTTCCCTTACCGAATTCGAAAGAACGGTTCTACACACCGCAAAACTTTCTACGGAAACTTGTCGGATGAATCTTTTACTCTCGCAGGAATCATTCTTGCGCCTAGCGTTCCTTTCCCAAGAATTCCTCGAGGAGTTCTTGATTCCTCGCTTTGCGGGGAATTGTGCGATATCTCGGGGAAATCGTGCGATTTTCGCGGGAAAATTGCTGCCGGGAACCTCATGAAATGTGGAGAACTAATTTCGGTACGTTCTTTTAGACGCGAACAACCTTCTAACATTTATTTGACCAAGAGTTTCGTGTATTTATAGCAGTGGCGAATAGGCGAAACGCGGAGATATTCGGAGAATTTGAGAACATCGTTACGCTATGAACGACTTTTCGAAATTATTAAAATCAAAAATATACGATTTTATTTAATTTCGATTTTACATAAACGACTTAGACCTTGCTCAGAGCTTTTCAGTCTAATTATGAAGTACCCAAGATGCTTCGACTTTTACCGTTTATTTCTGTTTTCGTTCATTAAACGAGTAAATCGTTTAAATCATTAAATAAATTAAATGAATGAAAAATTCCAGAATATACGTAACAAAAAAACAACAGTATAATGTTGTACATGTATTAATAGAAAAAGAAAACGGAATGGTAACGAGCTTTCCGAACAACTTGATACATAAAAGTGAAAGATAAGATATAAAATTGTTCCATAATAAAGAGGAATTCTCGACAAAGCCGAGCGGTTATAATAAATAAACAAATCTGAGGATTTCTTTAGCATACCCGGTTAACAGGTTGCAGTAAAAGCAAATCAAGTTGCCCAGTGAATCAAGACGAAGACCACGCAGAAACGTAATTATCCTCGCTGCTCATACCCTCCCCACCCCCTCTCCTCGCTAACAAAAACTATTCCAGGCAACTAACTTCGCCGGTATCTCCTTAGCAGGCACAAAGGCTTCAACTTCGCCACGATTATTCTCCTTGAACGTTCCAAAGAAACCACGTGGCGATTCCGCGGGAAGAAGCGAGCAATCTTCATCGAGGGTAGTTCGCGAAGTCCCACAAATCAGCTCGGACGCGTGTAACTCAACGCAGCGCTGTGTACTTTACTGAAATAAACGGAATTTACAACCGGCCTATCGCGGTTTATAATGTCTCGACCAGTGGAAAAACTTTTCATGGGGTTCGTCGTTTGAGTTAGGGTTATTTTCGCTTCTGTATTTCTGCTCTCTCGCTGTACGTATATATTTTCTTTTTCTGCGTTTTCTTCCTCTCTGTCTGTATTTTTTTCTGTCCATTTGCTCTCTCTCTCTCTCTCTCTCTCAATATTTTTTCTCTCTCTTTCAATATTTTTCCTCTTTATTTTCTCTCTCTCCCTCTTTCAATATTTTTCCTCTTTATTTTCACCTTCTCTCTCTTTCAATATTTTTCCTCTTTATTTTCTCTCTCTCTCTTTCAATATTTTTTCTCTTTATTTTCACCTTCTCTCTCTTTCAATATTTTTCCTCTTTTATTCTCTCTCTCTCAATATTTTTTCTCTTTATTTTCACCTTCTCTCTCTTTCAATATTTTTCCTCTTTATATTCCCTCTCTCTCTCTCTCTCCCTCTCTCTCTCTCAATATTTTTCCTCTTT